CAGAGCTGGGATGAGGAAGGAGCTTGGGAGTGTTGGGTAATCTCACTCTTTCCCAAGGAGGAGGTGTCTGGGCTTACTCACAGGGCGGTCACCAGTTCTCTCAGTTAAGTCTGGTCTCACCTGAATTCCTCTCGGTGCTGTGGAAAGAGCCAAAGAGCCGGCTCAGGGTGCTGCCCCCTCCTCCTTTCCGTCTTTTACTGGGGGGTCCTGGGCTTTCCTCTTCTCTGGGAAGCCAAACCTGAGTGCTCCCATTCCCAGGAGGGAGTGCCCTCTAGTGTGAGGAGGGTGAAGGTGTGAGGAGGCAGCAGTAAGGGAAGAAGGGCAGGGCCAGAAGGCCAGGTCTGAAAGGGAAGGAGCTGCCAGACAGTGAGGGGTGAGTGGCCTGCACCCTGACCTGCTGGGGCTGGGACAGCACAGGAGCCACAGGTATTTCTGAGTGTGAGTATGTTTCTTCTTGAGAAGTCCTCTCCCATCTAAGGGACCGGATTCTATCCGGTTAGAATGTTAACATGGTGGAGAAAGCTGCCCTGGTCTCCCCTCCTGAACCCTTCCTCCAAACAAGAAAACTTTCTCTATTCTAAATTCTTCTCAAATGAGTTCGGTTCTACTACTACTACTAGATTTTTCTTAGCAAGGCTGTGAGTTCTGGGGTTACCTCTACCCACTTTCTCCCATTCCCACCTATCCCTGAATTGCTGCCTATTGTGTTTCACTTGTCTCCCGATCCTATGTTTTGTCTTTTGTTTTAAGTATACAGGATTTACGGTGATGTGAGCCAAGGTAGCAGAGCCTAGGCTCCAGCCCTACCCTTCTAGCTCAGTGTTCATGGTTGGGGGTGAGGGTGGGAGACACTACCAGTCCCTCCCTTAGCATGATCAAGAGCTGAGCCCAAGCTCTGCAATTTCAGCTGTATGACATGCCAAGCTTGGGGCAGGATTTGCCACCTCAGCCTTCTGGTTGGAGAAGCACCATGATCAGATGACCAGGGTCCAAAACCTTGTGGTTGACCAAGATGATTGCAGATTTCCAGCTATCTTTGCAGGAGGTCAGCTCCATTTTGGGGAGGCCAGCCTACAGGTTTTCAGCCTTGGAAAAGTTAATCCTTACCTGTCATTTGGCTAACAGAGACACAGAGCATTTTCCCACATGTTTATTAGGTGCCTGCCTTCATTTTTGATTGTCTCATTTTCTCTTTAGTGCACAGTTTTCCTGAATGAATAGAATCTTGTGTGTTATTCAACAAGGTGTTGCTTGTCCTGATGCATAAAGCTTCTATATGCTCAAGACTTAAGCTTGTGGTTCTAAATATTTTCCATTTGGGGGATAACTGTAGAATAAGCCCTCCTGGAGGAGGATGAGTTATCCAATTTTATCTCAAGTCTTCCTGTATAGTTTCTTAGTAGGAAAGTTGGGGATGGGGGTGGTGGGAAATTTGATGCTTTGGTTGACATCGCAGTGAGTTGATTTTTCATATTCATTGAGCATGACTGAGCAATTTACTTATGTCTGAAGAGCAGCAAAGATTCCTGGAGCTGAAAGGGATGTCTTGCAGAGATCTTTGAGTTTAATCTCTTGGGTCTGCATTGAGAAGTTCCATCATCAGACACTCAAGCAGGTTGTGGAGTAATTCTGGGCAGAGGCTCTGGAGTCAGATACACCTGGATATGAATCTTGCTCTACTCCTAGTTGGGTAACTTTGGGCAAATGACTTAAATTCTATGAGACCTGTTTCCTGATGATAACTATGGGCCTCGTAGATCATTGTGAGGACACCTACTGAAATATCTGTGGTGTCCTTAGCAAATACCAGGGGCATAGAAAGTGATCAGTAAGTGGGAACTGTTGTTGTTATTATTACCCTCACTCAAGAAGAGGTTAGTTGAGCACCCATCGGGCATCTTTGCAGGGGATTTCTACATAGGGTGGGAGACTGAACCAGATGACTCTACACACTTCTGACTCTCAGATAGTTCTGAGGCTAAAGCTCCTTGATAAAAATGAGGTTAAGGATATTTATCTTACAGGAATTTTGTAAGGATTAAATATGAAGTTGCAGCATTAAACCAAAAAAACCAAACCCGTCACTGTCCAGTTGATTCCGACTCATAGCGACCCTATAGGACAGAGTAGAACTGACCCATAAGGTTTCCAAGGAGTGGCTGGTGGATTCAAACTGCTGTCCTTTTGGTTAGCAGCCAAACTCTTAACCACGGTGCCACCAGTGAAAATATCTACACGGGGTTTACTCATAACAGCTACTCAAAGATTTTAGAAACTGTTATCTACCCAGGAGGACCTAAGAGCAGGAGCCAGGCTCCTCCAAGGGACCGGGAGCTCCGCAGGGTAATAGGGATGGTGGTGGTGGGGTAGACAGAGGTGCATGTGTCCTCATACTTATTGAGCATCTGCTGAGTGCCAGGCCTGGTGCTGGGGACCCTGAGAAGCCTGGGCAAGGTCTTAGTTCTCAGGTGGGCCACGCTCTGATAGGGGAGGCAGACTGGTGCGCCATGCAGAAGGGTGAGTGCTCCAGCTGGGGAGTGAGCAGCCGTGTTAATTGTCTACCTCTCTCCCAGGCCTGCAGTCCATGCTCTCCTCGTTGGTGTCCTGGGACCACGTGAGGATGCTGCCATGGCTTCTTGTCTTCTCAGTTCTGGTCCTCGGGGCCAGAGGTGAGTTTTCTTTCCTTACACCAGGGGTGCTTTTGGTGAGCAACAGATGACTCTCCTCAAGTTGAAAAATAGAGATCCTCCCAGTGCTCTCCCTTGGCTAGAGGGCAGTATAACTTCCTCATTTGGAGTACTGCCCTGGAGTTTACACATCTGGGTTCAAGTCCTAGTCCTGCCATTTGCTATGATCCTCAATAAGTTATTCAATTTTTTTAAGTCTTATTTGCTTCCTTGATATGATGATAATGTTGCTCATTTCCTAGAGTTGTTCTTGAGGATTAAATTAGATAGTAAATGTGGGGAATTTTCACAATGCCTGGATAGTAAGTGCTAGGTAAATTGTAGCTATTATTTAATTGTCACCATCATTATCAGTATACCAATCATAGTTAAACACAGCACTTGGGCCTACATTTGTCAATAAGAGTAAATTCCTTGAAAGTAGGAATTCCCTTTTTCTACAGCAAGTCTATACCTTATGCAGTTCCATACATAGCATTAGGCATGTACCAAATGCTTAGTAAAGAATTGCTGCTAAATTGCCTTTCTTTATATGGAAGTGGGTTTTGTGATTTTTAGATACTGGACATATTTTCAAGTTATCTCCCATGCATAGACCAGTGCTGAAGGAATAGTGTAATACAGCCTTCTCTCTGCCCTCTGCTTCTAGCTAATTCCATGGGAATATACAGTTGATGTTGGAGAAATTGTCCTATGTGGTGCAAATGATTTACATTTGACTACTAACATAAAGGTTGGCAGTTTGAACCCATCCAGCAGTACCATGGAAGAAAGACCTGGCAATCTGCTTCTGTAAAGATTATAGCCAGGAAAACCCTATGGAGCTCAGTTCTACTCAGTAACACATGGGGTCTCCATGAGTTGGAATATACTCGATGGCAAAGTGTTTGGTTTGGGTTTTTGGTTGATGTTAGAGAAACTCACAGACCAGGGAACATGTAATTCAGCCCTTCATTTTATGAATGGGGAAACTGAGGCCTTGACAGGTGAAGTGATTTGCCCAAGATTGGCAGAGAGTTGTTTTCTTGACCATCACGCTGGCCTCCTGGGTCCTGCCCTGCCTCTGTCCTCAGCCTGTTCTGCATCAACTCTGGCCTACCCTTCTGCCTGACAGCTGCTCTTTCAACCTGACAGTCCCCTGGATTTCATTTGGAAATCACCCTCTCCAGTCTCATCTCTCCTCTCCAGTCTTATGTTTCCCCTCCACAGCCCTGCTCAGAAGCTCCTTCCCTGCTGAGAGGGGATCCAGTCCTCAGCCCTCTTTGCAGCCTGCCCAGCACACCTCGGCCTCAAAGTCGTGGTCATGTATTTGTACTTGATTATTGCATGTGAAGGACAATGGGGACCCTTAATGACCTTGTTTTATAGACAGAGAAACAAGCCAGGTTGTGTCAGTGACTTGCCTAAGGTCATCTGACAACTCTGAGGAAACCATAGAGAATAATGGTTATGAGCACAGGCTGTAGGGTCAGACCGTCTGGGTTGGAATCCAGCTCTACTTCTTAAAACCAGTGGTTCTCCTCTGGTCAATTGAGTGTTGCTTCCTAGAGGAAGTTAGGGGACTTGGGGAGGCAGAGAGTCTGTGGGCTGTGGGGTGGGATGTCTAGATGGTACTTCTGATGTTCTGGTACAGGCACTCTCCCAGGACTAGCAGTCAGAGACTTGTCAGACGGGCTTCTGGACCTGTTTTCCAGCATCTCACAGCTCATTCAAAAGGGTCTCAATGGTGAGGAGGTTTAGCAATTGGCTGAGGTTCCATACCCATTGCTGTCGAGTTGATTCCAACTCATAGCGACCCTATAGTACAGAGTAGAACTACCCCATAGGGTTTCCACAGAGCGACTAGTCAGTTTGAACTGCTGACCTTTTGGTTAGCAGCTGAGCTCTTAACCATAGGTGGCCAGGAATGTTTCTCAGGACTTCATTTTGCTGGGCAGTGAGTGATAGGGGTGGAATCCCCAGAGGTGCACCGGCCAACTACTCCCATGGATTGTCCTGAGTTATTAGGTAAAGGGGGTCCCAGGAAGGGATGGGGGGAAACCTAGAAGGAAAAATCTTGTATCCCATTCCTCAGTTCCCAGTGTGAGGGTGGAGAACCCCCACCGCAGGGAGTCTGTAATGCTGTGTGGAATCCCACAGGCCTGCTCTTAGTGAGTTCCATCTGGAAGAGAGAGACTTATACCTTATGCTTATGGAAATTTCTGTGGGCTCTGGACCTTGGGAGCCCCTAGGTTGAGGAGGGCCAAAGGACTGTTTCCCTCAGTCACTGTTCTGAGGGCAGGGCGGGACAAAGGACATGGTCAGAGATGTAGGAACAAGTGTCAGTGAGGAAATGCGTATGTGCTAAGGTTCTTCAAGAGAAGGCAGCTCATAATGCCCCAGGAATGGCTGTGGGTGTCAGCTGGGGATGGTTTCTGAAGGAGGGGAGCAGGAAGCAGGGCAGAGAGAGGTGAGGGTGGGATTTGTCTTCTAGGGAAATGAAGAGAATTTGTTTGGAGAATAAGGCTACTTGACTCCCCCGGCTGAATGCGGAGCTCACATGGGGAGTTGTTTAGCCAAAATGAGTACAAGAAGGTGGGGTGGGGAAGAGGTGGATGGTGAAGGCCTCCTTGGGGTGTCCCTACCACAGCGAGACAGATGGTGCCTGGGAAAGAGAGGACTCAGGGCAGTGTGGGCAGCCCATTGGGGAGGAAGTGATAGGACCTGTTGCATGCCATCCTGTGTTTCCCCCAGCAGATGCCCCCACCATTGTCTCCCGCAATGAGTGGGGGTCAAGAATGCTCACCTGCAGGGCCCAGCTGACCCAGCCTGTGGCGTACGTCATCACAGACGAGCTCACGGGGATGGAGTGCCAGGAGCAGAACCTCTGCAGTTGGAAGCTGCGTGGCCTGCAGTCCCATTCTGTCTACACCAAAGGCTGGTGCGACGTGCCGTACAAGTAAGAGTCTGGTCTGTCGAAGCACCCATTCAAAGTCACCCCTTTAGGGCTATTATCCATGGGCCTCCGCTGATAATGCTTAGACTCAGACTCAACTACACAACGCAAGGCTCTTCTCATTCCATTCTCCTCTGCTTCTACCATTTTTCTGGATTTCACTTATTCTGCTTTTATCATGAATACAAAATGTTATAAAGAAACACATAAATAAATAATGAGAGAAAGAAAGAAAAGGAAGAAAGAAAGTGTAAGTACCCCAGAGGTCATTTGGAAGGATAGCTCTGAACTGTTTATTCAGATGTGGTCTTGGACCCTGGGAGCTCCAAAAAGAAGCAAGGAAGGTTATGTAATAACTGTAGCCACCTCCTTGATTCTCTCAGCACATCATAGTTCACCAAGGTCTTCACAAATTCCCAGCTCCTCTGAGGGATGGGTAGGAGAAATGTCACCACTCTGACTTCACAGGTGAGAAACGCAAGGTCTAGGGAAGTTTATGAATTTGCTCAGAGTCACACAGCTAGAAAGCTGTGGGCCCTGAACAATGTCAGGTTTGCCTGTTAGTCCAGCACTTGTTCCACTCTTGGTAGAGACAGGGGTTTTACCCTGTGAAGCGGTTTCCCACCTGTTAGCCTGAAGAGTCACCTGACAGGGAGACCAGGGATCACATGGGAGTGGGCCCTGGGACGAGGGTGAGGAGAGCCCCATGTTTAACAGTGTGAGACATGAGAAGATTCTTTCATCGAGGGGTCGAGTCTGAGTATACGGTATTCTGATAATTATCAGTGGAGGCCCAGAGCCACTTCTTCTCCCCTCAAGTACAAGGATATCTACCTATTTGTCTGTCTGTCTATCTATTTACCTACCTACCTATCTAGATATATATATATCCATATATATATATGGATATCTATGGAGCCCTGGTGGCGTAGTG